CCATTGCAAGAAGGCAGAATACATGTGTGTTATGAAAAGAAACAGCCAAACATATAAATTACAAATTGTTTCTATCAAAATCAAACATGTAGAAAAATTTAAATATCTGGGAAGTGTTTTAACAGAGGACTGGAAGTGGGAAACTGAAATCCGAAGGTGCATTGCAATAGCGAAAGATGCCCTCCAAAAACTAAGTAGAATATTCAGTCAGTGATGTGCCATACTTGATACACGCTTAGGCAATCATGTATCATTCGATACATGACTGACGAGGCAGATTTTTTCCCTTAGTAGGTCGCCATTTCTTTCTGCGGTAGACCAGTTGCCATCCAAGTCTATAGAACCCGGTCTGTATATATCTGATATTTATTCATAGCTGGGAAGAAAAGAAGAGGATTCATACCTTTTCCAAGAATATTAACACGTAAGTGGATGTAATGGATTCGACTGGAATTCGAACTAGGCTCTCCGATTCCTCAATCCAAGCAGCTATCAATTACTCCACCGATAACGATATATATATTAGTATATGAATAACAATAGGATTCATACCTTTGCCAAGGGTATTAGTATGTAAGTGAATGTAATGGATTCAACTGGAATTCGAACTCGGTTCTCCGATTCCTCAATCCAAGCCGCTATCCATTACTTAACCGTGCCTCCAAGTAGTACATTAAGAAACAGTAATATTTCGTTGCAAAACAAAGAAACTGAACTCTTATGAAATATTCATTTTCTTATATAGCAGGGACTTGAAGCCAAAGAAATGTACTTCTACAGAAGAAAAATGAGAATACCATGGACCGAACATGTGAGCAACTAAGAAGATAATGGAAACAAAAAGAACACTAGTGCTTAACATCCTCAAGAGACATTTGAAAGTTCTAGAGAGCATAATGAAGAAAGGGAGCTAGGAAAATTTAATACTCACAGGACATGTTGAAGGAAAACAACGCGTGATCGATCTATACATAATTTATTAAGAGTTACAAAGAAAAAGAAATTGTGAAGGGCCTAGATCGCCTACTTCCGGAAGGGACACGGCATATAGAGGAAGAAGATAAGTGAAGAAGTAAATACAGATCGGCGACAGTTTGTTTCATGGTTGAACGAAATCTATAGATTATCCAGATTACGTTCCATAATGAAACAGACTGTAACCGTTTAGTGTTGATCACAGTGTCCATATATATATATATATATATATATATATATATATATATATATCTGTATTTGATAGGCAGCAATCCTTCATTTATACATATTTCATTAAAGACGACAAGGTACTGCGATTAAGCTTTTTATTTAATTTTTAATGTGTTCGAACAAGTGTTTTCTTTTCGGGACACAGAGTGTGTAGAAACTGTTCAGATATTCTGTAATTCCGACCGCTTTCGGCTATACTTTTAGATATTATTAAAGATGATTTTATATTTGCTTTTTAACTGGGTGTATGGGTTTTGTGTATGCTTCTAGAGTTATAGGGATGTTTTATTTTCCGAACACATTGTGGCCGTGTTCGTAGTTAATATTATTGTGTTGTTTTGTTTTTATTATTAAGGCTTCTATTTTTTAAACCTTTTTTTTTTACATGTGATTTAACCATTATCAAAGGTTGATTTTATTTATTCAGTTTAATTGAGTGTGTGCGTTGTGTGTATGTTTTAAGTGTTAGAGAGATGTTTTATTTTCCGAACACAGCACATTGTGGCCGTGTTCCTATTTAATATTATTGTTGTTTTTGTCTTTTTTATTATTAAGGCTTCCATTATTTTTAATCTTTTTTTTACATGTGGATGAGGTTATTATGTTTGTATTTTCTACTAGTATGTTTCTGATGGAGTCTGGTAGGTTTGTGTGTGTGTTTAAATGGGTGCTAATGGAGTCGTGACCGGATAGGTGTAACGTAAGACCTCTCGATAGGCATGTAGTAGTGTGACCTATGTAATTATTTATGAATTCGGTTTGATCATGAACACAGTTAATTAAGGCGCCTTTGAACTCATAAATAAAGTCTGTTCGTTGTAATTTTGATTTTGCTGGTGTGTTGTTATTTTTGTGGATAAGGTTAGCTGTTTTCAATTTTTTGTAGTAGATAATTAATTTGAGTTTTTGTTCGTGTCAATTGGGGTAGTGTATTTCTTTGAAATTTCTAAGTGAAGATTTATCTTGTCTGTAGTTGACGTGCATTTGACTTTTGTAGAAAATATAATGTGGTTACGTGTTCACTATCATCATTATTTACTTTGGGGAGAAATAGTCTAATTTGGAGGTCTATAAGGTGGTTAGGAAAGCCATTGTTAACTAGTGTCTGTTTTGCATTGCTGAGTTCTTTAAGGAAGAGTAGTCGAGAGGATGAATTCTGGTGTGCTCTTTCTAGGAAGTTTTTTTATCACTGCTATTTTATATCTGAGTGGGCAGTCACTCTTAAAGTTAAGGTGGCAAGAGTTTCTGCTAGGGGTTTTTTATACAATGTTGTAAAGGTGTTGTTACTGTATTCTACAATAACGTCTAAGAATGGGAGTTTATTTTTTTTAACTAAGTTCGTAGGCAAAGTTAAGGACACGGTTCTTCAAATGTGGTCTTTAGAGTATCTAATTCTTTTGTGTTTTTCGCCAAAATAAACATATCGTCTACGTAGCGGGCATATATTTTAGGTTTAGAGACGTGTTTAAATATCATATTTTCTACATGGGACATGCAATGATTGAAGAAGAATATATATATATATATATATATATATATATATATATATATATATATATATATATATATATATAAAAATAAATAGACATAATATAAACAGATTATTTAGCGAAAATATATATATATATATATATATATATATATATATATATATATATGTATGTATGTATGTATGTGTGTGTGTGGGTGTGTGTGTTTTTTTGAATAATCTGGACATATTATGTCTATTCATTTTATAATGATCCTTTCTGATTTTCTAATGAATTGCTTGATGTTGAGATGAAATTCATTAAGGAATTACAGTAGAATTCCTCATATCCAGAATTCCTGATATCCGGAATCCCTTATATCCGGAGCGCCTCATATCCGGAATCTCGCATATCCGAACATGATTTTGATATGTATATTTGAACTATTTGGGTGATATGTAACTGATTTGAAATTTCTGTTTTTAAGGAAATTTACTTTGGATAATTGATTATGCTTATTTCACATTAATGGCTTGTATTTGTGCAAAAGATAATGGGAATTAAAACTGCTCCACAAAAGCGAGCACAATATATTTATTATAGATCATAGAAATGAATTACATAAAAATGAAACTCAATTGTACACCATTTTATATGGCCATTTTGCTACCCGGGACAAAGTCCCTGGATCTTGTCAATACTAAATGGTTTGCTAAAAAATGAATCATAACGTTCTTTTTAAATTTCAAATTAAAAATGGGTAGAAAAAAGAAGGAAAAAGAAAAGAGGAAAACATTTTTCTCGATATATTATTTTTATTTTTTCGAATAAAGTTGATATGTTATATGCTTTGAAGTATATCGATGAGTTAATTTTACTTTTATTTACCTGTTTAATGACTAGCTGTTTTTTTAGGGGGGTTGTCTTTAGTTATTTGTTATTGAAGTTTCCCTCTTTATTCTTTTATCTATTTTAATTTATAAGTTAATCTTTTAATCTGTTTTATCTATTATAATTTATTCTAAAATTATTTTTTAATGTATATGGTTCTATCCAATCCTTTATATTATAATCTATAATTAATCTTTAAATTTAATCATAAGTTTAATCTAGTTTTTACCTTTTATTAGTCTATTTAAAAAATTTTCCCTTATATTGTAACATTTTCATTTGGGCTATTTCTTCCTCTATCTTATTATTTTTAATATTCAACTTTTTCTTGTTTATATACTAATAATACATTAATATATTATTATAATATTAAATTCTTTTGTTTAATATTAAAACAAAATAATAGATTTAATATTAAATTCTAATTTTCTTTTATCTACTAACTTAAAAACTCCTTTTCTTAACTTTAATGATTGTATTTTCTTACATAATTTTTTCCAATTTTAATTTTTTCCTATTTGAACAGGAGTGAACATTTTAAATGTAGGTCGTTGAGAATCGTCAAATGTTTTTAACTTCTGTCTAGACATGTATATGTTCTATCTTTCTGTTCCCTATCTCTTGGGTGCTTCTTTCTTTTTTTCTATCTCTCTCTTTAATGCTTTTTCCCTTATTTGTTGTTTGTTCCTCTTTTTTCCCAGATCTTTTTCTTCTTTTTTCTATGCTTTTTTCATTTTAATTTATGAACAAAAAAGTTACGATTCATTTTTTTATCAAACGTTTTAGTATTGACAAGCTCCAGAGAATTTATGGCCATATAAAAAAAGGGGGGACAATTGAGTTTCATTTTATGTAATTCATATATATATATATATATATATATATATATATATATATATATATATATATATATAGTGGTACTCGTTTGAAAAAAACCTTAGTTATTTCGCCTTGTCATTGAACAAAGCAATGCCCAAGGGAAAATGGGATAAAAAACAAAGGATTAAGAACATGAAATTGAGGCGAAAACAATCGTCCAGAATTCAAACCCAGAGTCCAAAGAAAAAACCTCCAAAACGAGTAAAAATAACTACGTAAAGTGCTGAATACACTAAGTTAAGCAAACCTAATATACCTGGCTGGTTTACCTGGCTATTACATATATATATATATATATATATATATATATATATATATATATAAGGAAAACAGAACACTTTAAGGTAACATTACAATAATTTATTTCACAAATCCGAGCGATTATCTATTACATCAACCAAACATCAAAGTTTACAGCATATGGTATTCCCAAGTGGTCACCCATCTAGTTACTGACCAAGCTCAACATTGTTTAACTACGATTATCATACTGGTGTTTCAACGTCCGATTAAAAAATCCGAGCCATTATCTATTACATAAGCCAAACATCAAAGCATACAGTTTCTGATATTCCCAAGCAGTCACCCATGTAGGTACTGACCAAGCTCAACAATGTTTAACTTCGATGATTTTACGGGGACTGGTGTTTCAACGTCCGATTAACAAATCCGAGCCATCATCTATTACATCAGCCAAACATCAAAGTTTACATGATCTGATATTCCTAAGCGGTCACCCATCTAGGTACTGACCAAGCTCAACATTGTTTAACTACGATGATCATACCGGAACTGGTGTTTCAACGTCCGATTAACAAAGCCATTATCTATTACATCAGCCAAACATCAAACCTTACAGTTTCTGATATTCCCAAGCGGTCACCCATCTAGGTACTGACCAAGCTCAACATTGTTTAACTACAATGTCATACTGGTGTTTCAACGTCCGATTAACAAATCCGAGCCATCATCTATTACATCAGCCAAACATCAAAGTTTACAAGATCTGATATTCCTAAGCGGTCACCCATCTAGGTACTGACCAAGCTCAACATTGTTTAACTACGATGATCATACCGGAACTGGTGTTTCAACGTCCGATTAACAAAGCCATTATCTATTACATCAGCCAAACATCAAACCTTACAGTTTCTGATATTCCCAAGCGGTCACCCATCTAGGTACTGACCAAGCTCAACATTGTTTAACTACAATGTCATACTGGTGTTTCAACGTCCGATTAACAAATCCGAGCCATCATCTATTACATCAGCCAAACATCAAAGTTTACAAGATCTGATATTCCTAAGCGGTCACCCATCTAGGTACTGACCAAGCTCAACATTGTTTAACTACGATGATCATACCGGAACTGGTGTTTCAACGTCCGATTAACAAAGCCATTATCTATTACATCAGCCAAACATCAAACCTTACAGTTTCTGATATTCCCAAGCGGTCACCCATCTAGGTACTGACCAAGCTCAACATTGTTTAACTACAATGTCATACTGGTGTTTCAACGTCCGATTAAGAAATCCGAGCCATTATCTATTACATCAGCGAAACATCAAAGCTTACAGGATCTGATATTCCCAAGCGGTCACCCATCTAGTTACTGACCAGACTCAACCTTGTTTAACTTCGGTGATCCTACGGGAACCTCTGTTTCAACGTGATATGGCCGTAAGCCAGCATTGTGTTGCCAGAATATATTCTTTTGCTTCAAACGTTTCGGTTATGAACTCTACGACGCAAAAGTATCCTGTCGAGGAACTTAAAACAATCCCCTGCATTTAAATTGACACTCTCATCAATTCTGAAGGGACTTATAAAGTGATAGTCTGTTTGTTGCCATGGTTTTTGCCAATATTCCGATTACTTGCCAACTTTCCATCGATTTTCTCTCCCTCTGTTCACATTCACAACTTCAAATAATTTCTGACTTGTTAAACCACTTTTCTTGTTTATTAACTACTACTTCTTTTCAAATGTCTTCTCGTGGCAATCGCAAAGCCAGTCTTTCAGGAGTTACTTATATTTATAGGATCAATATATCATCACCTTTCAATTTATAATCTCTAGCCTTATTGAAAAGGAATATTGATAATTACTTGTTCTGTTGCTGTCAGTTTTTTTTGCAAAGTGTACCATAAACGTTTATTTATAAATATATTAAAATATAGACCATAGAAATATATTATATAAATACAATATCCAATAAACATGAATAAATATGACATTTATTATTTTAATATTAATACCATTCGATAACATTTCTCATCTTTCTGTGGATTTTAGCATTACTTCCAGTATTTTATTACATAATTTTCTCATATACATCTCTTAATGATAGACGACGAATTTTCTATTGGATTAATATCTGTAGACGTTGGTAGCAATTTCTTTAATTAATTATCTTTGACGTTTTTTTCACAATCCAGTAGTCAGTTATTTAGATTTTAAAATAGCACAGTCTTTCTAGCTGAGCAGAGCCTGGTTGCTGATCTGTCCGCCTGAACTAACTTTAATAGCTCCGTGGGGAATAACTAGCCTGTAATACACTATTATTCGGACTATTGTCCTCATTTTTGTCGCCATATTTATTACAACGTTTCGGCTGTTGTACGCCTTCTAATGGATGTCAGTTATCAGTTATCTCCTGTTAATTCCCCTCTCCAAGTTCTCCAATGCCTTAACCGTGTATTGAACTCACATTCTTTAAAACATGGCACGTGGAACTGGAACAGTCTATCCCATTCCAACCACCTGAAGAAGGCCAGAGCATATAACGGCCGAACTGTTGTAGTAAATATGGCGACAAAAGATGAGGACAATAGTCCGAATAATATAAATAGTGTCCATAATACCTCATCTCGGAAATATAGACAGATAGCCTGTAGTAATCAGTACCTCCAAAACCAATCGCTTCATCATTATTGAACAGACACTGAATGTCAGACTATCATGATGAACGATTATTCTCTCTAGGAGATTCCTTATTTTGAACGCGTATTAGAACCCAGGTACACCAAAATCTCAAGTGAAACCCATTTATATGATCCATCGTTAAAGATGCTGGAAAAATGATCGGTTCTTTGCTTGTCTGAATAAAATAATTGTAACATGAGGCATATTCAAATAGTGGTGTTCATTAGTGGCTTTTTAGCCATCACAATTGAATATCTCATTATTATGGAATTACTCCACCTTGCCTGCAAGGAGATTTGTATTGCCTGCTAGATGACATTGTGTAATGCAGTTTAAAAGAAAAGGACGCAAACCGTCTGCCACTTCTCTTGCAGTTCACCCACAAGATGTCATCGGAGAAAGATGCGTCTCTTTCCCCCTCTGGAGAAGTGGGAGGATTTCTTAGAACCCAATGAAACCATGTGTTACATACTATCACTACAATGTCTCCTGCTTGAAAAGAAAAAAACAAAAACTTCAAGATGTCCACGGCAAACTATCACATAAATATATTATCGCCTTACAAGAAAATATCCCAACAGTATTAACAAAATTTACCAGGTTCTGCACAGCTAGAAAGACAGTGCTATTTAAAAAATAATTGTCAGGCTTTGTCCATTTCTTAATGTGTGACGTCATTTGTTTACATTTAGATACGTATTCAGTAGATATGAATGTACGTGAGAGAATCATGGAAGATTGTGTTTAAAAGCAGTAAAATCGACCTTGCTAACCGAACACTCCTCTGTGGCTCCATCGGTTAAGGCACGCCAGGCTATATGACGGTTCCGGAGAACGCATATTTTCTATGAAAATTTCTCGGACATTCAGGCCGGTAAATGTTGTTAATACTGCTTATTATAAACAGAGCATTTACTTAAATATTTGTATCTATAAAAAGGAATGTATGAACATAAAAAATGTCTTAAAAATAATTGTCGGACTTTGACCATTTCATACTTTAGTATATATTAAAATTGAAACAGCTAAATATCTTTGCGTTGTAGTAGCTCGGACATCGTGATGTCATTTGATGCTGCGTGCCATTGGGAATTACTTGGTGTGCCGCGTATGGCACGCGTCCCATAGGTTAACGACCCCTGATTTATACGATCCATCGCTAAAGATGTCGGAAAAATGGCCGCTTCTTTGTACCACTACAGTAAGTATCTGAATCTCCGTGCTATGCTCAATAGTTACAAGAGCCATATCCGACCGAAAATTGAATACTGCTGCCATATTTAGGCTGGAAATATCTTGTCCACCCTTTCCAGTTCAAAAACATCCACGCGGCCTTGTGCGTAATGAATTATTCTCCACCCTATAAATCCTCTCCCACGGGCATAAAATATCGCTATTTCCATGTTAAATGTTCTGGCAAGCCACATTCCTTAGTTCCTCAGTTCAGATCTTCCCAGCTAAGACCCACCATCCCAAAGACATTAGGACGAATCATCCTCATTTTCTTCATATTCCATTGGTAGGAAGGAAATCCTACTCAAACAATTCTTTCGAAGTTCTACTTTGTCGAAGAGACTCCCGAGAGGGTGCTTTCCCGATCACTACAATCTTAACCTCTTCAAATCTAAAGTTACCCATTATCTTTCCTAGATATACTCATAAACTGAACTTCTTACCTTCTCCTCTAATGTTCATACGAAAAGAACCCTTGAGTAGCTCTTGAGCCTTTCATTGGATGAAGTTAATTAAAAGATACTCCGTGGCTTCTTGGTTGGGATCTGTAACACTTCCAAAACGTCCAGTAATTTAAAATAATTATCTGTAATTATTTTGGCACTACGATCCAATATGAATGGAGCTAGTAAGGATTAATGGTAATGGCATTTGGGTAATGGTTCGCTGGCTACTCTGGTTGGCCATTGATACTGATTAGTGAGTTCTTTTTAGGGCGTAGGCGGTCATGTCTCTCCACATCCTCCTGTCTCTTGTAGCTCTCAATAAGTTTTGTCCTTTTGTTATTTCTTCAAGATTCTGTTCTGCCATCCACTTGCTTAAGTCCGTTAAATATGTCACACATTGCTTTCCCTTGTCCCTTATTCTCTCTTTTCGCCCTGTGAGTATCAGATTTTCCAAGCAGCTCTTTCCTCTTTGCATCTTCTCCAAAACCTCATCGTTGCCCATATGTTCGGTCTATTGTATCCTTAGCATAGTTCTGTAGAAGCACACCTTTGTTGCCTTGGGTCTCTTCTTCATCCTTAGTAGTTCAGTACCCTTTTCTTTGTTACCAACGAAATCCTCCTGTCTCGTAATACTCTGCCTAGCTTTTGGAATGCGACTTTGGTCATCCCAATTCGTCTTCGGATATCAGGGTTGCCCTTTCTCTCCTCTGTCAGAACACTTCCCTGTTATTTAAATGTCCGCACCTGCTTGATTATAGTGTCCCATACCTGTAAATAGCATTTCGGGATCATCTTTTTGCTAATGACCTTGTATTCTGTCTCTTGTAGTTTATGCTTAGACCCAAATATTGCTCCACCTAGCTCATGTTTTTTTTAAATGTGTTGACAATTTTCAAAAAGTACTCAAACCTAATCCTGTTTTCTTGTACTTCTTCACTCAAATTACATGTTTTGCTCTACGATGTTTTGATAGTTCAGTTGCTCCCATGTTTTGATAGTTCAGTTGCTCCCATGTTTTGATAGTTCAGTTGCTCCCATGTTTTTAGCCAGTGTTCTTGATATGTTGCGTACTTTCGCTCAGTATTCGTCTTACTCTGTTGCTCTTTCTATTATTAAGTTTCTGCATTTATCTTAACATCGCAATAAACTTTCAAGGGGTCTATACGTTTTACTCTACTGTGTCGGACACTAAATTATTTATTGTACATAATTAAAAATATATATTATAAGCTGAAATATACACGATATATTTATCATATAAGTACATCATAAATTTTTCACCAATATTAAATTTTAATGTAAATTTTGTTAAAAAAATGTTGACTTGCTTAATACAGTCTGACATTGTCTATTCTCCGCACAGAATACAGTATTATTTTTCAATATATTTATTCAGAAATATGCAATTCCTCAAGGTGAGTTAGTTATATATCTATATAGTCATTTTCTTTAGTTATATATTTATATAGCCTTTTCTTTAGTTATACATTTATAGAGTTTTTTATTTAGTTATATATTTATAGTATTTTCTTTAGTTAAGTATTTATGTAGTCTTTTCTTTATTTATATATTTATATCGTCTTTTCTTTGGTTATGTATTTATATAATCTTCTTTTTATATGCATATATATTTTTATTCAGTTATATATGTAATCTTTCTTGGGGTCTATATTTATATAGTCTTTCCTTATATATATATATATATATATATATATATATATATATATATATATATATATATATATATATATGATCTTTTTCTACAGTTATATATATATATATATATATATATATATATATATATATATATATATATATATATATATAAAGATTGGGAAAAATCTAGGCGTAGGGCACTAGCCGGGTTTCGACCTTCCAGTTTCGTCAGGGGAGTTACTTGTGAATGGTTAGTCTGTAACACTATTCACTTCCGTTTCTGAGCTCATCAGGTTGTTTGTATTAAGTAAATTTAAGAAGATTTTTCATATCAACAACCACGGCCAATATAGAAACGATAGACTAATCATTGTACCGGAAAATAGAAAGGCCAATGATAAAATCAGAAAATTACTATTTAATC